ACATGTCTTTGTAAATGCCCAAAGGCTGAGGAAACAAACACATGCAGATGTTCCAGCTCCCCTCACCCCAGGCTCTTTAAGAAAGGGGGAAGCAAATTTCATAAAGTTGCATTTTATTTTTAATGATGTAAAACTTTTCCCATGTCAAGCTCTTGGCAATTTTGATGTGAGATCACAGACTAGAGCTCAGCTGGAACTAGTTGTGCCAGCTTTTGTATCATGCTGTGAAGTTTGGTAGGAAGGACTGCTTTGTAAGTCCCAAATCTTTCCTCAGGTGAACCAGAAACTTGAGCAAAGTGCATTAAATCAGTTTCTTCCCATTTTATGGATTAGCAGAGATTTAAATGTTTCTTTTGGTGCTAGTGGCACATCTGTTTTCCTTGTATTCCTCCAAATAATTTTTAAGCCACTAAAATCTTGACCAATTTTAAGCCTACTTTATTTAGGAAACTCCCTTTTTCTCTTATCCAAACTCATATTTACACCTTCAGAAGGGAAAGCTTCCCATGTTTGTAACTTGATACCACTCAAGGACAGAGATGAAGAGATCAAATCCAATAAACAGAGGTGCCCACCTAAAAGCTGGGCAGAGATTGAAGTTCTTGGCCCCAGGATGCACAGAGAGCCCAGAACTTGGCCAAAAGCTGACATACATACTCAAGCCTGAGGAGAACAAGATGTCCCAAGGAAGAATGTAAGGAAGAAGCTACTTGGGAATAACCTGAAGAAAATATGCAAAACCCCTCTGAATAGTTGTCCCTCTGCAAAGATAAGCACTTGAAGTGGGGCAGCAAAAGACCAGGGCTGCTTTTGATACAGGGGCCTAACGGTAAGAGGACGTGTGAAGGAAGGCGTTTGTCAGTCAGTGGGCACCTAAATCCAGCTGCCCTTGCACACACTGATTTTTCACACATGCCCAAGCCATGTTCATCACTTACACTGTGGACTTGATGCATTCGAGCTGGACCTCCGTGTGTGCTGTGAAGAGCAGTGCACACGGGTGGCTTTAAGGAACTGGATTCCTATTGACTCACCTGTCGACAAGCAAACAAGACAGGGCCTGTGGCTAATCCAAGCTTGAGATCTGCTGCTGCTGGTTTCCCCAGATGGTCAGCACATGATGTAAAATCCAGAACATCATCTATCAGCTGGAAAGAGATAAACATGCAGATATTTTAAAACTTTTTTGTTTGTTTATAATGAGAACTAAACACAGAATAATCTTTGTTAAGAGAAGATTTATAGAAAGGATTAAGACAGCCCACTTTGTTTTCTAAGGCAATTGGGGTAAGTTTAGGTTTTAGATTCCCTTTAGTTCAACAAAAGCACTACCTGAAAAGCTATGCCAACGTTTTTTCCGTACTGGTATGCAATCTCATGAACTTTGGGATCAGGGCAGCCCAGAATTGAAACCTAGAAAAAACAAAACCAACAAACCAAAACCCAGGTAAATAGGAAGCTTTAGTTAGCATCCACTTTTAGTCAGTGACTGTAGGTGTGATGTAGCAAGCACAGACAGCAGGGATCTGGGAAAAGGAAAAAAGCTGACTCAGTAGCACATTCTTGATTATCGCTGTTCGTGGATATACACAAGCAGCGAAGCTTATTAGAAAACAAGGCTGAACAGCAGTGCAGAATTACAAATATATTCAAGTCTGGAAAGAGATTAGCTTTATTAAATATTTATCAGACTTGGAAATTATAATGCAAGGATGAAGAGAGAAGAAATGCAGATGCACTGTACATGCAGGCGAGTAGTCAGTCCCCTGTCCAGTGACAGGGGAATCAAATTTATTACATATATAACTCAGCCAGGGGATAATTGGAGGTTGGACAACAGATGAATAGACCTTGATTACATGCCTCATAAAAGATCCACAAAACTGAATGTGTTGCACCCAGTACAGAAGGGACAGGTGAGGTAAGGAAGATTATTTTAAGGGTGATGTTAACTCTAACTAAATTGTGCAGGAAGATGAGCCGATTTGTTTTCAGGCAGAGGTGTCAAGGGACAGTTAGTGGCAAAGACAAGACAGTGAATAAAAGTACACTGAGCTACATAAAGGTATCACTAAACTGAGATAAAACAGAAGATTTCAGCTGAGTACGGATAAAGGAGCTGACTGCTTGAGAGACAAGTTTTTCTGAATAAACTCCACAAACCTAAAATACAGGGGACAAAGTAAAATTTGCAAATATCTTGCCTCAAAGTAAGGGCACTTAGGCTTTTGCATTTAGGTACTGATTGTACACTTTGCAAAATGGGGCTGGTTACATTTAAATACTCAGATTTATTTCAGCCTTCAATAAAGCAGTTAGGAACGGGGGGCAAAAATCCATCCTGCCTTACTGCAGACATTCCAAATCTGCTGTGATGAGCAGAAGTAGTAAAGATACCTTTTACTTAAAGTACCACTAAAAGTACATGCTAGGAAAACCACACAACAAAAGTATGTATGTGTGTATATATATATATATAACTCCTCTTTAAGACTATGTAAGGTAGGATCATTACAAAAACCAGCAAACAAACCCCAACCTCAAAGTGAGTCCAGCAGTAACTTTGAAGGTGAACATGAAGACAGAAATAAGAAACAACATTATATCCTAATAACTGGGATGCAACTCACAGACTAGAGACTATTTCATGCATCAGTGCATTTCATAACTGAGCATCAGAACACCTCCCAGCCATAACCTGCATCTGTGGATAATAGTTAAAACCCAGAGGAGTCTGGAAGCCTGAGGCATTAACAGCTTCCCACATTTCCCCATTTTATTTAAAGAAGGATGGTAATATAGCAGGAAAATAATGCTACTTATGTCTAGTCATAAAAATTCCTGAAGGCTATTAAAACAGTGAACTGTAAATAGGAGATATTTAATAGGTGTTGCTAGAACATTTTGATCTTTTGTCCTCTTGATGCTTGTGTCTTAAGTAGCAGTATTTGCCCCAAAGAGCTAACATCTCCTACTGCTGTACAATACCTGGCAAACTTTTGGTTGTTTCTGTAATACTAATCAAATAATATGAGCAAAGGCGGGGGGGCTGCATCTACTGTGTTTTAAAGAAATCTCTACCTACCACCACATGCAAAAAAATTAAGTTATGGAATTCAGTAGAACAATGACAAAATCTTGGTTAACAGCAAAGGGTCAGAGTGGGCATAAGCTGGTAGATGGGGAGAGGAAGTACCATGTAGAGAAGAGCTCTCTCATTTAAGCTGAAAGGTCAGAGCAAAACTATTCCTGTAGGTGAATATTTTCTGGGGACACAGATGTTACATATATAGAGAATCACATCAGTATATGTACATTTAAAAAAGCAGAAGGGTGAGTTGCAGAAAGTAACAGAAGCAAAACTCATCAGTGCAAAATTCATTCTGGCATCTTTGCAAGAGGGGACCTTCTTAGCTCCTATTCAGGTTATGAACATTTCTGAAGACCAAAAATCCAGGAGATTGAGATGCCTATCACACCTCCAGTCACCAACTCTCTGACCATGACCTCTTCATAAACCTGCAACTCGACTGCGTCTCGTCATCTACGAGGGAGTTCCTTCAGAAGCCGATTTCCCGAATTGCTCTTGTGGATTATTGCCCCCGTCTGGACGCTCAACAGGCTGCAGGCTGGTCCCCGGGCAGCCGCTCACTTTTGGAGAGTGATGAAGTTTAACTGAAGCCATACTGGGATAATAGCAGGTGTTTACCAATACAAATCAGGATAACAATATCAATATTATGATATATGTTTAAATGATAAAGCTCATCCTTTGAAAACAGCCTACAGCGCCCCTGATATGACTGTTTGATTACAAATTGAATCCTGCAAGGATTCAGACAGGTCCTCTCCTACATCTCGATGAAAAATCCTTCTTAATGATGAGTGGAACAAATTCTTTAGAAAGGTTCTTTGAATTCAGTAAAGCAAGTCAATCTGCTTGGCATTATTTCAAACACACTTTTTAAAAAATTGTTTCTATTATTTTATGTTACATGAGAGACTACAGACCAGTCTTGCCTCTTTACTGAATTTCACATCCATAAAATATTGTGTCATCAGCTCTGGCTAGATACATCCTGGTCTGTTATTTATCATGTAACATTATGGCAGCTGGAGTTGAAAGCGTCTGCACATCTGTATCAGTGCCCTGTATGCCAGAGAGGAAGACCTGTTGCTGGGCACGGCTATGCTTGTATCGGCAGTACAAGAGATGTTTGCTCGCATGCTCCTAGATTCATGGACACCATGGAAAGGAGAAGGATCTAAAATCTTCCCTTTTCCAGTCTTTCTCCTCCATGCCCTGAAGCAGTCAGGCTTATCCTTTCACTGCCCACTTCTCCATCCTCTCTATGGCCTCCCTTTACATAGCTGGAGACAGCAGGAGGATTCCTCTTCACCTTCTCGACTCCTGACTAAAACCAGCTCTTGGTATATCATTTGCTCCATCATGGTTGCCCTTCACTGAGCTCTCCACTACATGAATGTCTGTCTCGGGTGACGGAGCCCAGTCTCCTGTGTGCTGAAGAGAGGAAAACAGTCACTGCCCTTGATGTGCTGGTCATGCTGGTAGCAACGCAGCCCGGTTTGTGCTTATCCTGCACTGCTGCTAGGGAAGGGGGTTATGAAGGCCTACCTGGGAGAGGAAGATACCTACTCAGCAGAAGGCCCCCCACACAGAGAGCAGACAACCATCTTGTCCTGAGTCTGCATTTTCATATATTTGACTTTTTCTCAAGTAATTAATATTTTAACCAAGTACTTATGTGGAACTGTACTTTTACAGAAGATTGCCTGCCTGAGTATCTGAGATACATTTATACTACTCTTCTCCATAGCAAACATTATGAAGACAGTAACTCAAAGGAGTTACTGTATTTGAAATAATAAATAAGGAAATTTACTGACTGACCACAGTATCTGATGCTACTGATGCTATTACCTTGCATCTGTCATCAGACGTCACTGCAGCTTGCCTGCCTAGTGGGGCTGGGGGCATCAGTTTTGCTGGTGGGGCTCAGGGGTCTTACATTCCTAGACACCAGTTCCACACCCTGGTAGGTTTTTCTGATGGAGCCGTCTGCACATACCAAACCATGAACTCGTTACAGCAGGAGCTCACGGGCAGATCCAGAGCTGTGTGCTACCTCCCTTTGCTTCTGTTCCTAAAGCAGAGCTTCCCTACCCAGCCCTGCCTTACACAAGGAGGCTGCACGCTTTCTCCTAAAAGAGAAAGCAAGAATCTCTAGTGCAATTTTTACGGTTAGCTCAAAACAAGCATGACTTAATCCCTCTCCTGAGAGTATGCTGTGCAAAATACAAACAGCTTTATGAGGGTTAGGAATCCACATTACAGCAAGATGAGAAAAGACAGAGAGAGAACCTGCTCAGCTTATTCTGCCATCTGCATCTTGCCTGATGACTAATAGAAATTCCTCTTCGGCTTTATTGTTCCTGAATTCTTGAACCAAAGTCACCTCCCATGTTTCTCTGAAAAATGCCATTCAGTAACTAAGGCTTCAGTGACCCTCTGGGCCATCTGCCACCATTTCCTCTTGCAATGTATTACTTTGACTGCAACTTTGGTAACATTCTCTCTTACAGAACTATCGCAGAAATGGCTCCAACATCTTGAACAGACTGTTCTGGCCATAAAACCCCCCATATTATTTTCCTAACTTGACGGACTTTTTATTTAAATGCAGTAATACTCTGGCAATGCAGAAGATATTTAATGGAGTGAGTAGACCAATGTTGACTGACTATATATATATATATATATGTGTATGTGTGTATATACACACACGCATATACATATACACACACAGACTGTTATCTTTTTTGGACATTTTTCCAGGAATACTCTACTCTTCCATCTCTAAGGCATGACACTGTAAGATGCCACTTGGACTTCTTTGACATCTTCTTTCCAGTTAATAATTTTATTTATGCACAGAAATAAATCACTATTTTTTTCCTATCATTATAAGGAACTGAACTCCTTCTAATGACACACTAGCCTGGTTGTGACTGATGTTTTGAAAACCAATAATCTCTCTCCTTAGCTTTATCCTTGAAAACAAGATGTGAATACTCTCAACTCCCCAAATGAATTTCCTTTCAAGCTAGAACTGATGATGCTGCTTATCATTTTTTGCTACAGAAAACAGAACTCCCTTCCTATTCCATACTTTTCCTTAGTTGCCAAAAACATCTAACAAATGAACATCTAAACAAAGAACAACCTCCCCCCCCAAAAATCCCCTTTTCACTGCTATCAATCGAGTTCTCCTAATCCATGCAGAAAGAAACTGAGAGAGGCATAAATATATATATACACAAGTCATTGCTACCGTGTGCAGTATGTATGGGTTTGCCATAAAGAGAGACGTCTCTCTCATTTTTCCTTTATAACACAGATTTTACTGCATATAAAATTCCAGCAGTTCGGCAATGGAACAACTCAGAACAACTACTAGAAGAAAAGCAGTGAAACACCCCTTTCACAAGCATCACAGCCATAATCTGGAGGGAAGTGCTTAAATGCTTAAACTAAGTTTAAAGGCAAAGGAAAAACTGAAAACAGAACCTTTGTAAGGAGAATCCACTCGAAAGATTATTTCTTCTATGTGTTAAAATTTCTTTTAGGAAGACCATCAAAAGTGAATATAAAAACTTGTATGTTTTTATTGGGCTGGCAGAATAATGTGACACTCCCTACTGGTCCATATAAATGAAGGCTTGCTAAGGGAAATTCTTGCCAGGGTTGTATTGCCATTAATATGAGCAATCCACAAAACTTAAGTTTCCTTCCTCCGACTAGAATGAAAGCTATTTTCCCTCCCCACAAAATTTGTGTCTCTCGTTCTATACGATCCTTTGGATTTAAGCAATTTTCAAGTGCTGTCTATTACACAAATGTACCAGTTCTCAGAGAACAAAGGAGAATGACTAACATTAGCACAGATTTTTAGTCCAATTCCCTTAAGACTCCCTCTTGCTAGAGCATACAACAGCTATAATGCCTTTAATAATAATAAAAAATTATAATTCTCTTCTGGGGTGAGATTATTGCCCACCATCTCCATTTTCTGCCCTAAAACTAAACATGTTTTTTTGAATAAGAATATCATCTTGAATCACGTCTTTCTGTAATGAAGTAACAGAACTAAGCAACAGATAGAGTTGGATATAGCAGCTGGTAATTCAAAAACCCAGATAAATCAAGAAGTACACGCTTTGTTTCTTTTACAACATAGTGTAGAGTATGCACAATTAGTTGTTTCCCCGCACTGTTACCAATTTAAGGTCCTACTCGGCACCAAGGACTAGAAGCAGATGCCAAAGACACCTTAGAATTATAGGCTCAAGAATTATCAGATGAGATTAGAAACAGTCTCAAAGCTGTGGAATTTCATAAATTAAAGGTTGCCACTGTGAATCTTATTTTGACTCAGCTGACAAAAACAATATATCTGTGCCTGAATATAAACCAGAAAAGAAAAATTAGAATCAATACTGGAGGCTACACAGCTGAACTGTGATAAAACACACAATCTCGAACCCATTCACATTCTGGCAGAATACCACTGAAAGCGTTTGCTTTGGAGGGTCTCCAGAGAAAAGAGCAATAACTAGGAGTTTAGCTGTGAAGCTTACAGTATGGTATGTTAACTTTAGAAGAGACAGACGTACATACTGCTTTACAACTGTTTGCTATAAGACTCGCAGTCTTCTTGAAAGTCTTCTCGAGGTAGTGAGCAAATCTCTCATTTTCATTTTCCTTGGAACCCAACTGGAGGAATTCACCTAAAAAGTTGCACAGATGGGAGTTTTCATTTGTGGATTTACTGCTTACGCAAGCAAATCCGAATATAAAAATAGAAAAAGACCTTACCACGCACCAGATCTTCAATCACCTGAGTTAGAACAGAGATGATAGTAGTGTTTCCAATTCGTGCTAAAGCTACAGAAGCAGCTGAGAGGATGAAGTCACCAGCTAGAACAGCCTACGAATAATAAAAGAAATTGATCTTTTAAGTCTTTTCCTGTTAGTACAGACAATACAGTTTCCTTTATTTGGCTGGTCTACTCACATCACATCACTTTCCTACATAAAGCACACACATCTCATTGTAACAAAGAGGAAAAAGAAGATAACCAATTATTAAAATTTGAACCAATTTCTGAATCCCTATCTTATAGTACTGCTTATATTTTTCTATGTAAGCACCATCCTCGACAATACAATTTCCTTTACAATTTCCAGCCAAAGCTGGTCTACTCACATCACATCACTTTCCTACATAAAGCACACACATCTCATTGTAACAAAGAGGAAAAAGAAGATAACCAATTATTAAAATTTGAACCAATTTCTGAATCCCTATCTTATAGTACTGCTTATATTTTTCTATGTAAGCACCATCCTCCCTGTATGCAATACAGGAATACATGTTTGCCTGTGAAGTTTTTTTTATCAGTACTTCTCTATTTGGCTATTCTGCTGTGACTGTTACGCCACGTTAGCTGTGATGTGTCAGCAGTGTCCTTTCCTTTCATTTTCCGATTAAGATCTTCTTTTGCGTGCTCTATGAAGAAACACCTTTCTCCAAAAAGAAAAAAAACCCAACAAAACAAATATTCATGCTGACTGAAAACCTTTTTGTGTTTACTACAGAATCAGAGTAACATATAGTGTTCTGGATGAGCTATAAGTTTGAAGTATTTCAAGAGCACTGCAGAAAATGACACAGGGAACATAAATTCGATAAGAATCGCACTACAATCATACATTAGATAATGCTTCCAAAGTTCAGAAAAGGAACAGGCATTTGTCTTACCCAAAATCTGTGCACAACTCTTCATGCTTTTTCTGGCATATCCCAAGCCTAGGGATAGTAATGTGACAAAACCCCTAGGTATTTGGGCTCTGCTGAAACTCAAAGGTAAGTCTTGCACATTATAGCAAACTCACCTTCCTCTCTCCCCAGATTTGATTGACTGTCATTTTTCCTCTGCGAGAATTTGCATCATCAATAACATCATCATGAACGAGGCTAGCTGTGTGGATCATCTCGGCAATTATGGCCACAGAGCGCTGGCTTGCTTGCACCTCCCTAAAATAAGAAAAAAAAGAATTGCCAAATAATTAGATCAATTCTGTGTGCTGCAATACACCAAAATAAAAAAAATACACTAAAACCCACAGCTGTTGCACCTTTTCCATGGTCTGAACCCCATCTTTTAGACCTAGAACTAGGAAGATAAGAGAAAGTAAGATCATGTTAGTACAGTAAGTGCAGTAGGAAGTTTCCATTGTTATTAGGCCTGTTTCTGCCTTGCTGCATTAAAAGTACTGCAAAACCCCTGAATTACTGAGTCTAATCCCTCTAAATTCAGACTGCAATGAAGAGCACAGCATCGAAGATGCTTGATTCCAAGAAAATGGAAATCTGGAAAATGGCAGAGAAAAAAAAAAAAAAAAAAGCCAGGCAGCTTTGCAGATGGTTCTAAGTTTTCCTTACCTCTGTCTTGCTCTACCTCTAAGACACAGGATCACAAACTCTGCTGGCTAACTGTACTAACCAGCACACTGGAGAGATCAGCAGGCACAGAAACCTATAGTCTACATCTGAAAGACATAATTCAAGGATCTTAGCCTTAATGTTATCCAACTGCCTAAAGAACTCAGAGGTTTTCCAAAAGCCTGAGGAATTAACTGGCGTTCTACTGCAATCACTTTGAGACTGTAAACACAACTACCTAACACTTACTGAAGTTGGGCCTTTGGGAATATCTAACACTGATGATCCAGCTCTCAATAGTTCACACTTACTTTATTTTTTAAACTAGGTGAAAAATAAAGTAATGGAAGAACAGAGAACCAATTATCTGGGGAACAACGCTGGCAAAATGAGCTTAAAAGAGCCAACCTAGCCCACACAAAAGACCACCTACCCTAGTAACCAACTGCCGCTGCCTTGTTCTAGGATCTATTTATTTTTCTGCTTGTTTCTGTCATGGGCTGCATGCAGGATCCCAGAAATGGCTATCCCAGTCAGCCCTGCCTTATAGCTGTAATAAACCCACATGGATGTTAATAAAACCCAACAAACAATAAACCCAACAAAAGAAAAAGAGCCAAATCAGTAATGAAAAAAAAACAATGAAAGAAAAAAAAAATTTACTTCTGATATGCAGGTACCTTACTTCTGGTATACAGATAACGGAGCAAATCACTCTATTTTTCAACAGAACAAAAAAAGAACTGAGAGAAACAGAAGATAATAATTTCAGGACAGCTGAAGGGAATTTAAAATCTTCTTACATTGCCTACGTGTATTAAAATCTAGCAATTAATCACAAAAAGAAAGAACATTTTGCAGTCTGCTGACATAACACTGAGTTCTGACACCTACCTCTGTGCAGAACTCTGCACTGCTGTCTGTGGGAGTTCTACATCCTGAACAATAGCAGGATGTGTGGCTCACAGGCTGTGAAAACGTGGCTTTTAAACAACAGAAAATAAGAGCTGGAAACCTTTACGGTTGGTTGAAGGGCAGTTTTACTGTGGACTAGTCATTTAGCCAACTACCAGTTCAGTGTAAGTAGTTTTCCAAAATAAACCATTGTTACTAAGTAGGAAAACTTACCTTCAAAAAACTGTAAAGGCCTCCAGCCTCTTTCATGCACTGGTCTCCTTTTGGGGACTCCCTTTTTCATTAATTATGTCAGCAGACTGGACTTCCTGCTGGGAAGTAGCAGTAAATGGCAACACTCACCGACACACTAAAAATCTTTCAGTACTATTAAAACAGCACAAGGACAGACACCTCATAAGCAGGTTTTGAAAAGGTCTTGCACTATGGTGCATTTCGTCTCTGACAATGCCTAAAAATGGCATAGGAATGCTCATGGTTAACATGTGTGGTTCCCAGAATGTTTTATAAGACACGATCATTTAACCTGTTTGTTTTTTAAACTATTTCTGCAAGATTCTTCCCTTTGCTGGTAAAAAAACCAAAAATTGCAATAGTTCCCTACAAACATCTTGTGAGAAAAATTCTGAATCAAAGCATGCCTATTTTAGGGAAAACACACAAGGAACAGGATCCTTCACATTCCCTGGCATTTTTCATTGTGCTTCGCCTGCAAAACAAAAGCAAAAAGTAGCAGTAACTCAAGTCAATGGCTAAGTGGGTTCCCACAAGCCCAGTAAGTGAAAAGATGCCATTTTTAGGTCATTCTCAAAGTAAAGGTACACCAAGATTATATATATTTCCGCAAAATTTTTTACACAATTCTAAGTTTATCTTTTTATACAAGCATTATATTAACTTTTAAGTCCTTGATCACGTTCTCTTTTTTAGTAGGAACCCCTGCTTGATTCTGTGATAAGCTTTTATAGAACTACAAGTCTTTTCCATTACAGAACTTGTTTCATGTACACTGAACAAGACCAAGGCTGAACTTACAGGTTAAAAAACCCCAAACAACAAACCCACCCTCTTCCTCTAGGTATTTTTTTAAATTTTTTTTTAAAAAGGGGGAAGGATTCAAAACAACACAAAGTAGTATTTACAATCTGCAACAAAGAGCTTTGCAATGTGTTTGCCAGTATGCAAATACTGGCAGTTTAAAAGGCAGGAGATGTGCAAAAGAACTTGCAAAATTTCTGTCACAATCACACTCCTCAAAGTACATTTTTGGTGTTAAGTCCTTGTGGCTGAAAGAAATGAGCATTTCAGAAACAGCCTGTGACAAGGAAGGGCACTGCAACTAAGGGAAGCATAGACAATGGATGTGTTAGCACAGCAGCGAATTACAGAACAGCTGAAAACCAGCACACAGTACAGGAATCTGACAACCATGATTTGGAGGAGTGGAGGGAAGAAAAAGAAAAAAAGGAAAAAAAAGAGAGGACTATGGCTGCTGACAGCTCTTCATAACTTTAGGAAATATGATTCTATCAATTTTAGACAGGGCATTATATTTAAGTATTTCTCACACTATTCTGATGGGTTTATTTCCCTTTTTCCTCCCAAATTGTTTGTACTCAGTATTTTCTCTATCGAGATGTTTTTCTACTTCTTTAGACTTCTCTTATTTGTCTCTCTCGATTGCAGAAAAAAACCAAAACAAACACTCCTCCTATTTGCAAACACCTCTGGCGAATACACTCTAAACAGAAACATTAGGTCCAGTCAGGCTAACTGCTAATTCTGTGAAACTCTGCACACTGGTATGTGAAGAAATGCCAGAGGATGTGTGAAACTGAGGGGTTGCATGACCTCATTTTAAACCCTACAACAATTCTTACTCTTGCACAAAGCTAAGTTGCTATCATTAAGCAAAAAGTCATTGCTCAAGGGACCTAAGGACTTGGGGTTAAACTTCTGACACTTGGATCTTCAAGGGGAAAAAACACAAACCAGCATTTGAACAATTTGAATGCTTCAGACATGTATCTTTTTGATACTAGTTCAGATTCTTTATATAACTGGTACTTCTCCCTATTATGACTACCACAAAGTGACATCACTCTAGGAAGACAGTTAACCTGCTGAAGGAATTCTAAATACCTAGCTCTTCTCAGTTCTGAACACAAACGATCACAATACCCAACCTGTAAGCAGAGCTACCCAGGTGTTCCCCTCCATTCACTTGAGAAGTCTCAGCTACTCTGGCAGGGCTCTGTGAAGACAAAGACGTCTCTCTGGATTCCCAAGTAAGATCAGGACCTAGAACCTTACAAAGTTGTGTCTTGCTATTTCAACAGCCAAACAAGGAAGATTATGACCTTTGCTACTAGTACTGAACAAAATGAGATTAAAAAATCAAAACAAAAAAACACAAACAAAAGAAGAGGCAAAAGCATTCTGGGTCCAGCAAGTTTATGACAGTTGAGAACGGCAGCAAGATGAAGCGGAAACTCAGTATCAGTAACTCGAACCCCAGAGGCAGAACATAAAAACCACGCTAGGGATGAACAGCACAGGATATTGGCTCACCCCACAAGTCTACAGATGTATGGTCAGTATATCTGAGTACATGTGTGCGAACCAAAGAAAAACAAGTTTGGGAGAAGAATCAATATTAACTGAGGAAAAGAATCATAGAATGATAGAATGGCCTAGGCTGGAAGGGACCTTAGAGATCATTTTAATCCAGCCTCCCTGTCGCCAGGGACGCCACCTCTCGACTAGATCAGGCAACACATGGGGACCGAACGGGAATCGAACCCGCGACCTTGGCGTTGTTAGCGCCACGCTCAACTGAGGAAAAACATCTTAAAAACGTCTCGAGTAGCAGAATGGAAAGCAAGTGGTTTTTTTCTCCTCATGTCTACAGCAGACTTACAAACATGCAGCATTTCCTTCTCTACATACATGGTTTTCCTCACAAACAGCAAAAAGATGAGAGAACAATTTATCACCTGGAAGCAATGCTGCTTTAAAAAAAAACCAATAATGAAAACTGTATCTGTGTGAACTGGAAGTATATATATATATAGAAAGCAGGTGTTACACAGCCTGCTTCAAGAAGCTTAAAAGTGAAAGAGCATAAAATGCTCATAAAACTTCATCAACTCACACCAAGTGGGTATCCACAATACAAAAGCATATTCTTTAGGCATGGCCTACCAAGCCCTCAAGACACTGGTCATCATCCATGAACCAAAGAGCAGTACACTGGAGACTTGTATAAACACATGTGAATTTTAGCTACAATTGCAGGCTTAGAGCAAAGTGGCAGGAGGCAAAGAAGAGAAAGGTGAATGCCCTGGGATTTCATTCTCTTCCTTTGCTGAAACACTTCTATTCTGTTTTCCCTACTCAGAATCTCATTCTAAAACCAACATGACAGAGACAGTGACTTAGTCTGTCCTGATTCAAGAAACACTCAGATTAATGAGGAGGCTTTTAAATATCAAACTTAGTTGGGAGGTGCTGACAAAAAACGCAACAGTTGTACAAAAACTGCCACATGACATGGGCATCTATAAATCAGAGCGCTTATGCTGAGGGTTGGCTACTGCGAATCAAACACTCGCCTCAGGCACATGTGGCACTTGAACTCTGAGATCACACTTTCTCATTGGTGTAGGGCAGGTCTCGGAACCGGTCCTGATGGTTTCAGGACAGCATAATACGCTTTGAGCATAAAGACAAATTCAGTTCTTTCTACAGCTACTTCTTGTCTTTGATTCACTGCTTACCTCCTACACTAATATGACATCAATCTGAGCCTTCTTGGTGTCCTACGCACACTACGTAATTTTGTTCACAAGCTTCTCACCCTAGGCACTAGAGTAAAACTATTTTTCCTGTTACTCTGACTAGTGGGATGCTCCAAAAACTCACTGCTCCAGTTGTTAAGTCTCCTTCTAAGTTTCCATCCTTTTAGCAACATCACCCTTTGTCACAGAATGGTTGGAGTTGGAAAGTTGGACCTCTGGAGGTCACCTAGTCCAACCTCCCTGCTAAAGCGGGGTTGCCTGGAGCACATTACACAGGACTGCATCCAGGTGGGTTTTGAAGGAGCCTCCATAACCTCCCTGGGCAGCCTGTTCCAGTGCTCTGTCACCCACACAGCAAAGAAGTTTTTCCTCATATTTAGATAGACTTCCTGTCTTCCAGCTTGTGCCTGTTGCCTCTTGTCCTGTCACTGGGAACTGCTGAAGAGTCTGGCTCCGTACTCCCTGCACCCACCCTTTAGATATTTATAGGCATTGATAAGGTCTCCTCTGATTCTTGTCTTCTCCAGGCTAAGGAGTCTCAGCTTAATCAACCTTTCCTCATAAGAGAGATGCTCCAGTTCCCCAGTCATCTTTGTTGCCCTCCACTGGACTCTCTCCAGTAGCTCCCTGTCTCTCTTGAATACCTTATTGAATGTCTTAAACACATCTTTCATCCCTGTTCCTGTTAAACTGGTAGACCCTAAGTCCTTCACTCTCCCTGATTATCTTTGCAGTCCAGACCTGAAGCCAACAGGACTTACCTTTTATTGAACATGAGGATCAGACGTGCTGATGATTTCATAAAGCGTAATATACAAGAACATCAGCATTGCTGTAGCTGAACTGGATAAACTATGATTGAGGCATGCTAGGATTACTTCAAGGTTTTTCAGAGAAGGTGGCTGCAAATCATACTGGGCCCTAATGGGACACTAATGAACCCCAAGCTCCAGCAGAATTTTTTCTTCACTGTGCCTCCTTTCATTCCACCACGGATGGCCAGTCATCAAGAATGCTTCTGTCACCAGCTGTCATCGTGCTCCTGTTTTTCATGTGAAGATCACTCGTGTAAAATACTAAGCAAATCAATGCTGTGACAAAAAGACATCCTTGAGGAGTTTCACACGCAGTATTGTTCCTTTTGCTGCCTCTGAGACAATGACAGTACTGAATGGAGAACAGAATCAGGCTGAAGTTCATTAATCCTGGACAATGTTTCCCTAAAAGAAGAGAAACTGGCACACGCAGGACAGGACACTGCCAACTAGGTTTTGCTTCCTCCTTCAAAATTACATTCGCACAGGAAGGTGTGTACTGGGAGAGGTGCCATATCGAGCAGCAAAATATATGCCATGCTCTGAGGAGGAATCAAGTCCAACATGGCATTAACCTACCACTAAAGAAAAAATGATGTGAGAGCTAAGAGGAATCTCCTGAGACTGATAAATTAGTCTAGCAACACTTCTGACAAGGGACCAGAGATTTCATATTTGCAGTTTTTATACAAGGGAAGACTAGAAGTGCAGCTGCAAGGCAGAGAACGCTCCAGCCAACATCTTTCCTCAAAATGCACATGTAACAACTGATAGGAAAGCGTGGAGAGAAGCATTTGCCATCATGCCAGAGTCAGAAAGGGCAAGTATGATGCTCTGCTGAGTTAAAATTGCTTTCAAAAGACAAATAACTTGAAGAACATGAGGATTAGTCCAGCTCTAAGCTTAAAATCTTACATCAAAGCTTAGAAATTTTCTCCTAGAGAGGGGAAAAAAAAAATCTGTTTTGAATGTCTCACAGCTTTGAATACAATCATACAACCCACTCAATGGCTCTTCCCCATAATCATAAAAAGAGCTATGAAAGTGTCTTCTTGCATGGAAGTTCTTAACTGTGACAAGAATTTAATACCTACAGGAGCAGTTACAAGTAAAAAATACTTTTAATTAAGTTCATATAGTTACCAGGAGTATTAAAGGTTCTAATAAAGCATTTATGTAACCTAATATTGACAGAATGTTATTTATCCATCACCAGTTACAACTGCAGTACAGTCTGCAATTTTACACACGGAAGCATGCGATAAACACAGTAATTCCCTTTGGACTGCTAACTACAAAAAATACAGCTTCACGACAGAACTTACATTCCGCTTTTACTGAAGAGCTTTTTATTTTCATAAAGTTACTAGATATATTTTTTGGGAACACAACAGTGATAAATTTCAGGTACAAAATACGTTCATATATCTAAGTGACCAACTCACCTGGAATTACTATGGTGAATGTTGCAAGCCCTTGCCATTAGCACCACAATCATTGGTCGAAAGGCCTTTCCTTTCCCATCAAAGTAATAATCACACATTTCCTTAAGTTCTGCTGTAGATACAAGTAATTCCTATGAAAAGAATGTATCAAAAGTCACAGAGCCAATCTGTTTAGCGTAAGCAAAACAGTATGTATGTATAAGGTTATCGTCTGTATTCACTCCACTCAATGTAAACTGGAGTTGGTTTTAAAATTACTACGAGTAATCTGAAACATAAATTATGTATTCCAGCTGTGTTAACCAGGAGAAAAAATAAACATTTGTGTTCTGGTTCTGTAAGATACGTAGAAATCCTCTCTTTGCCTTCAGTTTAAGTTTCAGACAGCTGTTCATAAACATAAAGAACATTCTTTCAATAACTATCCTCCAAAGTGATTGTTGCTATTTAAATTAGAATCATCCCAACATCCCAGAGCAGTCACCAAAATCCCTTACCTTTTTAATATCTTCATAGAGATTCTTCAAGTCTTTTCTACCAAGCTGAAAAGGGTCTTGGTATTTTTCATCACTAACTGTTTTGCTGCAGCTACACAAGCGGGATGTGCTTGTATGATGAAACCTGGTGATAGTGTTTTTCAAGAGAGTAATGTTAGTAAAAACAAACTTTCCCCGACTGCCCCCAACAGAAACATGTCAAAGCATTTTCTCCTCTCCCTCTACCCAGCCTCCAAATTTAACCAAATGGCTAAACTATAAGCAGAAAGCATCAAAACGCTCTTTTCAGCCAAGGAGAGTGCAGCTACATGTTGATGACAGGAGACTTCTAGGGGCTGGCAAAGTGCAGCATTTGGCAAACAATAACCCCTCCCGTACCGTTAACAGATTACAGAAGTCTTCCGAGACACATAAAACTCCCTTACTCTCATTGCATTCCTTTTGAATATGCTATTGAGAGCATACAGTACATTTGGAGATAAAGCCTTCATCTCCTAGTAACACAATTATTCTGTTGCTTTCTTCCCTCTCCTATACATTCCTGGAAAAATATTCCTGACTTAGATTTGAAAATCCTCCTTTGCACACCCAGATACATTATAAATTACAAATTAAATCACTGCTGTCAGGTAGTATGACGATGCTACAGAAGTTCATCAGTAGAGGGTGAAAGCTCCACTTGGATGTATTATGATGCATAAGGTTTAGGCCTGATTTATTTTTTTTTTATGTTCCCTGGAGTTGAAGTTTATGTCTCTTATTGTGTTTCCTTTATTCAAGTGAATCATATGGTTTGCTTGGGGAATTCCTGTTTTCACCAGTGCTTTCCAGGATGGAGGACTTAGATTCAGACTCAGAACCGGAGCAGCAGCTAACACAGAATAATCCAACTACGTAGTAGAGCAACTAACTTTCTTTTCAAAGTGTTCAGCTCACAGGTGTAACTACCCAGCTCACCCCATAACTATGTCTTTACCCATTACACAACAACATGAATCATCAACTTACCGCCAAAATATATTACATATTTTTGGAAATGACAAAGTTGAACTTCTTTGGGTAAAGTGACATATCTGCACAAAGGAAAATCAGAGTTAATTTAACAGAACTTCAAATGGAGAGAAAAATATTATTACAAAAAATAAGTGTCTGTTCACAAGCACGGCTCTGTTTTTCCATTTTAACAACCCAGCAGCAAAGGGAGGCTCACAATCTCCTTCCATATCACGTGAGACATACCTGCCAACACGTACATTAGCAACTGACTCCTGCTCGGGAAGTTTGGACTTTCTTCCCTCGCAGGACCAGCCCAGAAGGCATATCAGCTATCTTCCCCGAACTGCTCTTACAAAACCTTGCTTCTGCAGTCATGGAAGGTGCAATATTCAAGCGTTCCAAGTTGCAGATAAATCTGGAATACACCAGTCAAGGCACAGAGAAAAGGACAAGAGCTGTTTCCATAAACTACTACACTAACAGAAGAACACCTCCTTGTTTTTCCCTGAAGCGATTTTAATTCAGTTTGTTTCACCTGATAATTTACACCTGCACACCTTCCTTCGTAGAACGTCCAAACCCACCAACCCTTCTGATATCTCTCCCTGCAGAGGGAGACCAGGAACCTAGGGGAAGGCGCAGTCCCAGGTACATGATTCCAGGCTGACAAAGGAGATGCACCTCTTCTCCGCTCTTGGCAGCGCTGCCAGGACCTGCCCTGCCCTGGATTGCACTTTGACTCAGGGGCCCAGCTGCAGTGACCCAGCCTGAAATCACTGTAACCCACACATTCACCAAACCACCTCTCCCAAAGCCTGCACAGAAACACTCAAGGAGACCCAGAACTGGAGTTCTCCCAGCTTGCCCCTGGCTTGAAGTCCCTCTCTCTCTCTCTTTGCCTGGGCACAGGGAGAGAAACAAGAGCACCGCAATGGCTCCGGGGCACCCTTCCACCCTCCTGGCGTACAGGATAAAAAAGGCCAGCCATGGAGACAAGAGAAGGCAAGGAGGAAAAGGAAGGAGAGGAACCCTGACATATCACAGACTGCAACTCACTGCTGAGTGACATCCATGCCCAGCCCCAAGGCCAAGCCCTTCCTAGGTTTGATTTCTCATACCTCTCACCATTTTCTGCCGTTAAAAAACAGCTGATCTCTTCCTATTCTCCCTTCGGTGAGGGCACAGTCAGCCTCCTTCCTTCCCGCTGCTGTTTAACACTGCAAACCCGGGTCACGCAGGATGCTGGACACATCAGGGCCAGAGCACGCACTGCAGGTCACGACAGCAGCTCGGCCTTGTAAGGAAGGCGCAAGCGAAGGCAGTGGGACAGCTGCCCCCCGTCACGACTCGTAACGCTACGCTGGGAACCTCATGCCACAGAGAAATCGCTTTCCCTGCTCCCACCTACAGAAGTTTACGAGCGCTTCT